CTTCGAGTTCTCCTTACTTGCAAATCAACGAACGCGCTAACACTATAAAGCTGACCCCTCCTCCCACCTCAGACCCTGCGGGCTGCCCAAACGTTGATGCTCAGAAACGTCCCAAACACAACAAAATAAGAAAATACAGCGAGGGAAAGATCTCTGCAGATACAGACACCGCCACACACTTCCATAGGAATGGGAAAAAATATGCCTTTAAAGTATTCTTGTTGAAAACCAAGAGATTTCATGCGGCACCAGTGTCAATTTAAAGCATTTACATATTAAAAGCTGAGTTACTTCAATTTAACAGTAACCATCTCTTGAAAACATCTGGCTGATCATGGGCTGCCAGCGACCTTATGATGGACATTCCAGATGTAACACTAGGGGGCAGTAGAGAGGACGAGCAGTAGATCACCCTGTCCGCCCAGCACCAAGACAGACGGAGCAGTTAAGCCACCACGTTCCATCTGTCAAAATACATAAATCCTCAAATTCCTCAATGTTCTCTTTGACGTTGCTGACTCAATTTCACTTCTTACACAATTTGTTCTTTTTTTTTTTCACCCCAGCTGCAGTGGAGCAGATTCTACAGAGGGAACAGAGTCTGGCAGAGGACCCTGTGTCTGTGTCTGTGTCTGTGTGTGTGTGTGTTAGGGAGGAACTGTGTTGAAACTGTGCGAGGACGTGCAGAGAGGTCGATCACCTCGATGAAACCTGTACAGTGGCTGCTGGTGGTTCTGGGTAAGGGGGGACAGGACACTGTGACCGTTGGGAACACATGAAAGGTTAAAAAACAAAAGCTACGCGGCAATAAAGTCCATCTTCACAGGTCACTTCATCCAAAACCCTCTTCAAACAAGCTTTGACAATCCAACTTCAGTGGGAGGACCACCTCCAGGTTTAATTCAATCTAAAAGACCACTATAGTGTAACTCTGGAGTACGACACTTAAAACGGTTATTAACATTGTAGTTTAATGGATTTATGGCTATAGTTGAGATTTCAATGGGTCAAACATATCATCTCAGTTTTTCAACCGCAATCATCTCATAACCTCCTAGTGGGGAGTCAGCACCAGGTTCATTTCACAAAGCACAAGATGTCACAAAGATGTTTAACTTCAGCAGCATCTAAACAAATCTGTAGTTTATGGCCGAACTTTGCACCCAATTTAGTGTTTTATATATCCTGCTACTGCAACTGATAGATGAACACACAGACAAACAGGCTAAAAAATACAAAATAAAAGCAGAGATAAGCATACTGGAGACACTATAATGATTTATGTTTCATGATTTATAAGTAGGTCTTTGATTGTAAAGAATGTTTTCTGATCTGTTTTGTTGCTTTAAGATAAGAACATTAAGTTATTTATCAGCATAATGACATAATAATTAGTGTTGTTTTGCTCTGGTCAGATTAGTTTTCCCATGCGGGTCAGATATGTGACAGGTGTCATTGACCCACTTAGTTCCAGATCACAGTTGCAGTAACCACAACAAAGCAGAGGGACAACTTATCTGGGTTACACAAGAACCAAAAACACACACTCCTCTGTACCAACTGGACGGGATTGAACAGGATTTGCTGGCCGCTGCAAACTAACTCGTCCGTCTCAGAGGGAATGGAGCGAAGGCTGCGGTTTGTCTGCGTCAGTGAAACTCACTGGAGTTGAGGAGGATCATGGCCTTCAGACAGACGTACTCCTCCCTCTGAAGCTTCAGCTCGCGGAACCGAGAGGTGGCTGCCAGCAGCATGTCGAAAATCTCCATGATGCCCTCCACGCACTGTCCCTCCTCCCTGCAGAGAGACGGAGAGATGGTCAGAGAGGGATAAGAGAAGAGAAAGACACAAAAACAGACAGAGAGAATGTGTGTGTTAGCTTGGCACTAACGTCATTCATGAAACCAGTGAAGCTTATCTAAATTTAAGGGGGAAAAGAGAAGAGAAAGAAAGACAAAAGAGATGGAAATAAAGAGAAAAAAGGGACAAACAAAAGATGGAAGGCAAGAAAGATCAAAGGAGAGAAATAAAGCAAGAAGGAGAAAGAGATACTGATGGAGTTATCTATCTATCTATCTATCTATCTATCTATCTATCTATCTATCTATCCATCCATCCATCCATTCTATCTATCTATATCTATCTATAT